TTCATCGTAATTAAATCATAAATCAAAATATTGGCATGAAAAAGGAAATGTAAGTTAAAAATCTTAATCTCTTGCTTTGATTGAAAAATGGCTTATTTCTTTCTTGCAGACAAAATAGTTTTAAATAAGACTTTGATAATCATTGATGTCGAAAAAGGATTCATCTCCGAACCCCAAATTTGTTAGGAACATGGCTTAGTATATTGTTGACGATGATAATCATTGCTTTTCTGTTATTATTCTCTTCTGGTTTTGAATTTTACTGTAGTTCAAGTTGGTTCTTTTACTTTGTGTCTTATAATTTAGGAGATAATAAGGATTCATGTCCGGACCCCACATTTGTTAGGGACAGGGCCAAGTATATTGTTGTTTACGATGATATTCATTGATGCAATTCTCTTCTGGTTTTGAATTTTATTGTAGTTCAAGTTGGTTCTTTGACTTTGTGCCTTGTAATTTAGGAGATAATAACTGGTATACATTTTGGTCGCATCGGTGGAAAGTAGTGATTTCCAGTCGGTATCAAAGTTATTGCCCAAATATTCTCTCTTGACGAAACATAAGGTGGAATAGGATCCTTCTCTTGCTGTAATATGAAGAATTGAGGCTTCAAAAGCATTTGAAGTTATTCTTTGATTTGGAATGCATTTGAATTTGAATATCATAATAACGAAACTATACAAAGTTAAAGATCCTTCCATGACGAGTAAAATTCATGAATTTTCACATTCACTTTGTCCAGTACTTGTATGTTCTATTTTGATGGGCCAGAAATGAGAAGGGAAACATTCCAAATCATTGAGCATTAACTGATAGTCTCAATCAATGTCCTAGCCACTGCAATGGAAAGTAAAAGAAAAAATTAGCTTTATTTTTATCACACTGGGATATCAATAAAACTTAAGAGGATGAAATTTGAAAGGATTGAAAAAATATGTTTTCGAAGAACTTTGATTCCTTGTCTCCATGATATCAGTTAATGAATTTTTTTTTATTTTATGCTTGTGTCACTCAATATTATGGGCTTTATTGCTTGGTTTCTTGATTTCCTATAGAAAGGAATTGAATTGTTGGGAGTCGATTTTACTTTCAGGTAGAGTATGTCGATTCACTGGGAAAAAATCGATCGAGGCGAACAAAGTCTCCCATTCAAACCACAAGACAAAGAGGGTGCGGTCTGTGAATATGCAATACAAGAGAATTTGGTGGGACATAGGGAAACGTTATGTTAAATTGTGGCTATGAACTAAAGCTCTCAAGACTATAGAGAAGAATGGGCATGATGAAGTGGCTAAGAAGCCTGGAATTGATCTTAGTAAAAGGTAATCATTTCACTCTTTTGAATGCATATGGAGATGTGAATCTGAATGAAAAATGTACGTCATTATTCACCCATTTTGTATAATGTTAACTTTAACAAACACTTCGACAAAAGAAAAAATAAACAAGAATAGAAAAGTACTCTTCATTAAGAACATGCCTTATAAACGAATTTGCTTGAATGCAAATACATTCTCAATAGTTCTTTGATTCACATAAACTAAAAGGTTCGACTAGGGAAGATTACTGGAGAAGGGCTGCAGCCTTAAAGCACTCTACGGCTTCAATAGACAATAGCTGAACTACCCTCAATCTTGTACAGTAGCCCAAGATTGTGCCATGCTGAAGGGTTAGTTCTTTCAAGCCTCAATGCATCAGTTAGAAAGCTTTTGGCAACTACCAGTGATTGGTCACTTTGTTGCCTAAGAACAACAGCTGTAGATATCAAAGCTCGGAACATGGTTTTGTTCAATATCTACGGCCTTCCCAAAGGATTGGAGAGCCCACTTGTGACCTTGTGCTTTATAAAATAGACCTGGCAAATCGTAGTTCAAATCTTTCGTAATTTAAATAGAAATGATACTTGCAAGGGAAAATACACATGCAATTTTATAGTTGCTGAAATGATAATATTTGATTGGCTGTTTTAACTATATTATTTTGTTCAAAATCCAATGAGATGTTGCCATATGGTTTTCTAAAAACCCGTTTGAGCATTTTCCCTGCACATGTAGCTCTAATTTAAATGTCTCTAGCTAAATCCCAAAGGAAAATATGTTATGAATTAAGTCATAATGCTGGTTACAAAAGCAACAATAAACAAGTAGAAATCAGGTAAAAATGTAAAACACAAATTGAGATTTATAGTTGTTCACCTCAATGTGGGGTTATGTCGACTTGCTGCTATAGATTTACTAAAATCAAGTTCACAATGAAGATCTCATGCCTCTCAATTTGTATATCTACCAAAAGCAACCATCCCATCGTCTTCCTTTATAAGAATTTAGGGCGACCTAGTACAAAGTATGAATACCCTAATTTTGCTGTAGCAAAGTGTTCCTAAATTAACATGTTTATCTGTCGTCGACAAGACAAGCGATCAATATAACTACGCTCCACACAGTCCTACACTATGAATAATCGAACATGTGAATGTAAAGGAAAAAAATGAGATTTGACACTAACGAGTTCTCTAGGGTTCATTTAGTTCAGGGACGTATATAAGTGGGGATTGGACCGGTCTATAGTCTAATCGATTCCCCCGCCCATTTAATTTATTTTTTTACTGTAATTTTAATTTTCTCTTATACATATTAGCCATCTTATAGTTCGGTCCTAAATCTATCCCTAATTTGTGTCCTCTAACAATAATGTTTGTTACTATTGATTTCAACATTTAATAATTTTATTACTGCCACTTCAAACGAAGAAAAATAAAAGCGAAAAATGAAATCGACCAGCCATGTATAGAAATTGGTCTATGCATGGTTAGGGGTGGAGTCCAGTTAAGTCCAGTGTGAGCAGATGCCCACACTGAACTTTTGGGCTGAATTCCACAGGCTCAGTTTTTTTTTTTTTCGATTTAGCTCATTTCTCTATCCGTCCAGTCCAGAGAGAGAAGCCCAATGCCTCATAATTCATCCATTTGAAATATTTCAATTTTCAAAACCCTTTGTGAGCTCGTCAGGACCGATCATCCCTTCACTTTTTTCGCCAGTCACCACTTCCCTCTCCATTGCCGTCGATCACTACTAGCCATTCCCGCCTGCATCTCCGACAGTCCCACCTCCGTTGCTAGTAGCAGGCCCACATCCGACGTCTCCTACACTAGGCGCCTCTAATCTCCGACTCTAAATCGATTCGCCGTCCACTCCTTAGCCACCAACCGGCTATTCTTCCAGCAATCGGCGACAGCCAGCCCAACAAAAGAGGAGCCAGAAGGTGAAGCCCCAATTTCAATTTTCCACCAGTATCCAGAGTGATTTTGAATTTTTTCCCTTATTTGTTGTTATTTCAATTTGTGTAAATTATAATGATTTTTATTTTATTTTATTTTATTTATTTATTTATTTATTTATTGTCTTTAACATATGAAATGAAATTAGCACTTTGGACTTCAATCGCTCAAAGAGGCACAGACTTCCATGCTTCTAGTGGATGGTGGACAAATTGCAACTTGCCTTTGGCTCTCAGCAAATCTACAATTGTAAGTTCAAGTTGCTTAAAATTTGGAAATAGTATAAATTGCATTGTGAATTGTACGGTGAATTGATAATGTGAAATTGTGTATTGGAGTATTGGAATTCGACTGGGAATTGATTATGTGAAATTGTGAAATATGAATTACATTGGATTGATAGTATATATTGGTATTGCATTGTGAATTCATTATGTGAAATTGCAGTAGATGAATGATAATACAATTGTTTATGTAGAGAAATACATATTTTTGAAACTTGATAATGAAGTTATTGTACAACGATATTAAAATATGAAAACTTGCAAGGAACAAGTTTAGTAATGTTGTAATATTGTTTTATTTTTTTATTATAATTAAATCCATAATGCAAACCTCGATGTTCAGCGTCGAAAAATATTGCCCGCATTGAACTAAAATATTGGCTCTGCCCCCGTGCATGATTCTTGCATTTCCATACTCGTTCTCAAGAATGGACTAAATTCTACCCACTGATTCTTCACACTAAATTAATCAATAATATGTAAATGAACCCCGGGAAATAGATGGCAAATTAATAATCCCGTTGTTCATTTTCCATGAGAACAATCGTGAATCAAGGTCGTAAATCACTCAAACATGGCAATTGCTCGTATTTGAACATAAAGTGTCTTAAAGGCGTAATGGGAAACGGAAAAATACCCGTGGAATGCCATCCAAAAGCAGAATGAGAACTGATAGCCTTAAATTTTGAAAGACAAAATACACTTATCTAAACCATTTAAATTAGGATATTTTGTATCACTTTTCATAAATTATAGCTTAATCTCATACGTTTATCGTTTGTTAAGTAAAATTTAGAGATTGAAGTGAAATTAGAAGAACGAACGAAAAGCGCTAAATGGAAGAAATTTTAAGTGTGGGGAACTGAAATGCAAGTTTTCTATAGTCGATTAAAACCACAAAAAGATGATTGAAGATCATACAAGATCAATTGGATACAATTAGAAGTTAAAGAAATAAAATATATTTAAAGCATTTTCACAAATCAATTTCCAACCGCACAAACTACACTCCAAAATTGAGACCTATCTTTCACATTGTAGACATTCAAATTGCACGCTACGATTTTTGACATGTAATTATATATACCTATATTAGAGTTATACCTATATTAGAGTTATCAATAGTCCAACCTCAACAGGCTAGTACGAGTCAAATTTCAAACAACTGAAATTTTTTAATTGAAACTCAAAAAGGTAAGAAAAATGTATGCTATTGTAGTGCAAAAAAGGTATTTCAAGTAGAAATTTTTATTGACATTACAAAATCTACTTTAAAATCTTGATGATCTTCAGACATTCTAGCACATTCAAGAATTCTAGCAACATCCTTTTCTAGCCATACAAATTGGATTAAATTACAACATGCCATATCAGCATTTAAAATTTTCCATGTACAAAATCTTTAAAAAACTGTTAACCCCCCCCCCCCCCCCCCCCCAAAAGAAAAAAAGGAAAAAAAATTCAACCCCTCACAAATTCGGTAATTTATTTACATAGGAGGGCCAGACTAAATTGGTACTTCAGCCAGGGAACTTTTTGCCCCTCTTCTGGGAAGTCTTGGCAAGAGCACCACAAATCTCTCTTTTTCTTTTGTTATTGTTGTTTTGGTTATCCTCATTGATGTTTGATGAATTCTTCCCCCGTCCTTGTAGAGCATCTTTTATGAAAAACTTCAATTTCCACAAGGTCGACTCACTCTGCATGAATCACATAAACAAATCAGTTACTCAACAATCTCCGAAACAAGAAGTGCATGTTCAGTATTGTCCAATCCTACCTTACAGTATGCCATAAAATAAAGTTGTGAAAGGGAAGAAACAGGCTTTATAACCTGAACATCCATGTTAATTTCCACGTCTTCCCTGGATGCTTGAAAGTCCGGGTTACCCTGGGCAAAGATTTCCACCGCCTTGTTGATATACTCAGGAGATAACTTGGCAATGGCACTGCTGAGTCTTCTCTTCTCTTCAGTCGACATCTTTCTGGAAAGTAAACTTCAAAATTAAGCACCAGGATATGCATCTAAACTAGGAGATTGAAAAACATTGCATTCCTAATTACTCCCTCAAAAGAAATAAGTTCCAGCCATGTCAACATTGCATTCTATTAATTAATCTGCAGTAGTGATGCGTTGATGAAGGGGAAACACTGCATCTAATCATGTGCTATAATCATAACTAACTACATAATATTTTGGCTAGCACTTAAGATGAGGTTCACATTGTTTTTAATGATAATGTCAGGTGACCATCTCATTCATTAAATTTTGCGACTGAGATTTCCTCAACAGCAAGAGAAAGATTTCACATTGTTTATTAGAAATTAACAATGAAATCACAGAAAATACAATCTCACTTTCACAACTGTCAATATTTATTTAGCAGATATTTTGAGTATTAAGAGAGTTTTATTGGAAATAATGCTAGTTTTTTTGGTCATTGTTTGTTTGTGAGAGTTAAAAAGTATAAGCTTAATTAAGTAAATAACATTTACGAGGAAAATACGCAAAAATGTTGGACAAGAGAATTAAGTTCATGATCAAATCACAAATATGAAAACTGAGATCTCAGCATGGAATACAAAAAAATGGCGCACTAATTTAACAAGAAAATGGTCCTCGTGAAAAGAACTGTTGGTGCTCCAAAATCCCATTAATATCACTTTCTCGTTTTTCTGTCCTTGTACCAATTCTCTCACCACCCTACTAAGGGAGTCACATATTTTTCCCCGATTTACTTATAAAATGGACCCTCTCTTCCATATTCTGAAATATTCTAAAATGTTCTCACATAGCGGTCGACTGGGTGCTTCAACCGGCTCGGTGTCCGGTTTGGGTCTAATAACATACTTGAGACTTAATTTAAACAAAATATGTTACGAATTTATCACGATACGCAGGGAAGATTAAAATGTTAGAATCTCGTGTCAACGTGTCCTCAGTTCCTGCAGATGACCCCTTTTGTGCATTTAATATTTCCCCTTAAATTCCTAGAGAGCTTGGGGGAGCATGGCTTGGCCAGTGATGTGCATTATTAACTATTAAGATAAATTGAGATAAATAAATTCCCATATTTATTCATAGCAAACGAAATCAATATTTCACCACCATTTAGCATGAGATAAATATCCAACAGGAGGTATTTACGACAGGTATAGCAAGGATGTTAAAACTAAACGAATTGAACATATTTGATAATTGAGAAAATTCATATTATTTGAACTTTTTCACTGACATGGAAACCAAATAAAGTGCAGAATTATCACCAAGTATAGATATATATTTAATCAAACGATGCAAACATAATTTCACAAAAAAGTTGAGATCTAGAGCAATGCTCCATCTGTAATTGGATAAATGACAAACCTGCAGTTCTGAAGTACCATATCTCTGAGTTCTTCCAGATGCACCTCAACCTGGTCCAGCTGTAAAAAATTTAAATAGTTTTCAGACTTCCCAGATTTTCTTAAATAGAGTGGAATACCAATGGGAACACCCAGATATAATAATGCAGGATGAAATTTAGTAATTCGAAAAGTTCTATTTTTTTCTTGGACATATTATCTACACAGACCCTGTTTTATTATTAACTACCTCTCCACTTAAATCTTTGGCCATTTTGGCATGAGCAACATCTTGGGTGAGCTGCATATCAAGCTGCATCTCAGCTTCTTCTTCTTTCCGTCTTTTTTCCTACAAGAGTTTTAAATATCAGCCAGTGATGCAGAAATAAATTATCAAATAATTTTAATATGTACCCTCGGGGCAAGGGATACCCGAAATGCAATGAAGTTAATGGTAGAGTATCTAACTTCTCAAGAAAAGGTAACAAAGATGCAAAGAGGTTCAAGACTTTAGCTAATCATTATGGGCTAATTCTTACTCTTTATTACTTATCCAACAAATAAAGAAACTAATAAGTACCTCTTCACCAACTTTAGGCAAGAGTTGCCGCCACTTTGTCTCAAACTTCTCTAACAAAGTTTTGGCCATAACGTGGACGTCATCCCTTTCATTGTTATATTTCATCGCATTCGTAAATATCAACCTCACATCTGCCCAAATCTCTCGAACATTCTTATATTCGTTACCATCCTTAGCCTCCATTTTGCTTTTAATAGTACTGAAGTCCATGGGCTTCTCAATAACCTAGTATATATCATACACAACATATTATAAGAAGCCACGAGTTGAAATAACAAAATAAGGCGGGGGAAAGGAAAGAAGCAGCTGAATAACCAAAAGAGACTCTAACAAGTGATTCAACAGAAGATAAACTGACAATGTCCTCATGGCTTTCATTCTTTACGTCTCCAAGATATATAACCAACTCCCTGAGGACCGCAACTTTTATAAAATCCTCCCAAGTTTACATGTCTGCCGTGATTTTTCTTTTAGTAGATTGGGCATGGGGGAAAGTATGGATGGAAGAATAAATAAACTCCATATTTGGATTGCCAACATAGTCAATATGCATTAAGGAAATTAACACAAAGTTAACGGTTTTACCTCATAGTAATCGTGCAAACCAAGACCTAACACATCCACAGGTTGCATAAATGGTACTGCCCATTTGTGCTGAGTTATCTGTCAAGGATAAAATCAAGTGGGAGTAAGTAAACAAGCAAAAGCGGATATTATACTTCAGTGGAAATAAAATGTAGGGAACTGATGGGATCAGCAGGAATTGTCAAGTTTTAATATCATATCCCCACACACCAAGATTGAGAATGATTCAAAATGAGAGTATGAACACTTTAATTGATTGCGTACGAGAAAAGGATGTACCACACTGCACTCGGCAACTTTTTGATATTTTATCAATACAAAAGTAAGGTTTACGGAATTATGAGAGAGACAAGTTTCTTCCATTTATTTATCCAGTCAGCGGTAACTACCAGTATATGTAACAAACAATAAACATCAACGAACACCTGTAAGTTAAAATTATTTGTTCACTCACATTAAAGTTTGAGCTTTGGAAAAGAATACCACATGAATAAAGAGTAAAGCCAAACAAATGCTTCAAAAAATTAATGTAGGGACCCACTTCAAATAATTGAATAATAAATGCAAGAACCCGATGTTAGTTGGAGGTTCATAGACTACCTAAAAGATGTCCAATAAAAATATGGCAAGAACGATGCTAAACACCATAAAACTTTCACAGGGCCCCCATGTGTAAGCAGGCACAATAGAAGGCTACAAACAATATTGCAAGGATAAATGCAGCATTTATGATCACCTGGCGTAATATCATTCCAAATTGGCGCATTAGCTCTTGCATTCTCTTACCAGCAGCCGCTTCCCTACTGGCTGCATCTTGTTGCCTCCTCTTAAAGCTGGCAAACAGCTTCTCCCTATCTTTGTCCTTCAGAACTGAGCTACCTTTCGAAGTGTTTGGCTGCTTTTTATTGGCAGATGAATAAAATTGCTCAACCTCATTTAAGTTTTTCTCTAGCTGTAAATACGAAGAGAATTTAATTATATTATTATATGTACAGATGTCAAAACTACTCCTGGAATCAGAATAGCATTTCCCACTTGGGGAATACAGTAGTTGGTATCAAATTGTAAAGCAGAAAGAATGAACTCTAAAACAGTAACAGGGATCTTGAATAAACTACACAAATGATCAGATTATTTCTACAATCTCAATGCAATAATTTCAAGAAAAATATAATACATTGAATCGCTACAAGAGACAAAATGCAGAAACAGAATCAAAATCAAATACAAAAGATTAAATTTGATGTTCATATCTAAATTCCACCTTATTAACTTTTTTGAAAATCTCGTCCACCCGTTGATTATAACTCTCCACATTGGATAAATTGCCCATGGTTTCTTGTGGCACCACAGCAAGGGAATCACCATTCACTGTTTCCATCTGTTACTCAACAATTTGGGTCATGAGAAAATAAAATTACAAATATATTTTTATCAAAGAAACACCAGCATTTCACATATAAAATTATCAAAGATTCCTTTTTCCCCCCTTTTTTACTCCAGAAACCCAAAATAAAAAGGCTAATTTTTTTTATGAAGCAACAACGAATGGGTATCCATAAACACAGATTAGCTCACGAACACGTATAATTCCTTGCGTGGGGGCCAGCGCATCTTCGTGTCCAGAAAATTCAGCATAAAATCGACATAACCGAATAAACAAACAAATTGATAGATGCCTAAACGTTATTATTAAATTCATATATGCACTTACAACAACTCAAATTTCAAAATCAATTGAAAAAATTAAGGCATTAGATTACCTGGGTTTTGGGAAAATCGACGAAGTAGAAGAGAAACCAAGGTCTATGTACCGAATATTAATGCGTCTGTGCTGTCTATTTGTAGGTTGCAAAGTAGCCATTTTTTTAACTTTTAAACTCTATGCCCGATTTCTTAATGGGAAAAAATCAATAATTACCTCATATTAGGTGAGTAATACTACTTAGTACGTAATTATTTGTAGATTGGTGTGGAAGAGGAATTAATTGTTCCAATTGTTATTGAATTAAGATTCTTATATTTGATTGATCATTGAAATTTAAAATATCGAATGTTGATCATTGAACTTAGATCTCTGTCTTCGATTGTTTGCTTAAATTTAAAATTTTGAATTTTGATCATTGAATTTTGAAAAATATTGTATATTAGTTACTGGCATAAATATTGAATTTTGAAAAGTTTCAAGTTTACAGTGAGTAACGTACAATATTTTTCAAAGTTCAATAGTTAAAACACAACATTTAATATTTCAGTGAACAATCGAAAACATAGATCTAAGTTCTATGATCAAAACTCAACATTTTAAATTTTAGTGATTAATCAAAAACATAGATCTAAATTTAGTGAAAATTGAAACAATTAACTCGTGAAAGAGAGAGGAAGAGAAAAAACAAAAATGAAGCAGAGAATGAAGTCAGTATGATTGTGCTAGATGTACTCACAATTTATCGATGAACAAACGATGCAACATGATATAATTAAGTCAAAATTTCACAAATCAACTACAAAAATAAAATTTCTCAACTTCCTTTTTGCTACTTCATCAATCTATAAATAGTGATGTGCAATAAGAATTTATCTAAATGTTAGTGTTGTTTGGTAAACATTTTGATAATTGATTTTTTGATCGTTAGAGATAAAGTGGGACTTACTTGTGAAAGACGAATTAAAAAATGGTGGCTGAAATAGTGAAATAAAGATCAAAAAATTGATTTTAATTGACTTTTAAACTATACCAAACAAGTTCTTAATATATAATGGCATATCATCAGTTTGTAAATAAAGTTGTAAATAATTATTTATATGTAGCATTACTCAGATTACATTTGCAAAAATTTCAAAATTTGAGATAGATTTCGATGAAGTTTTAATAGATTTTAAAAAAATTATGAATTCTAATAACTTTGTTAGTCTGAACAGGTTTGCATAGAATTCGTGAGTCTCATTAAAAATGGTAAATTTAAAGAATTTTAAATGTGTATTAAACTTCGCTTCTTTTTAATTCCTTTTATTAATAGAATCCCCATAAATCTACGAAGCTATTAAAAATGCCCAAATTTTATTAAAATCTCAATTGAGGACATCCACGTTTATAAATCAGGTCATGGTTCATGCATTTTTTAAAAATAAAATTGATATTATATATATATATATATATATATATATAAAATAAAAAAAATTATCACCATGTTTGACCTTAGTATTCCACAAGACAGCTATTCTCTCTCCATATGACCATATATGAAGATGAACGAAGTGGAATTGTGGTTCCAATTATTACAATTTTCATTGACCTCTTTCTTGTCTCTCAAAATTGTGTCAAATGTATAAAAATTGTGACATTGAACACACTAGACAAAGGTTGTTTGGTAGCAATTTTTTACTTCAAAAAATCATTTTTTTTTATCGTTATTTCACTATTTCAATCGTCATTTTTGACTTTTTCACTCACAGTTAAGATTCACTTTTCTCTCCAACGATTAAAAAAAAAATCAATTTTCATAATCATTACCGAAAAGACCCTATATGTGTTAACTCTATATATTTGTGAATTCAATTGTATATAACATTATGTGCTGTGACATTCTTAATTTTGCAACTTTTTGTAATTTGACAGTTGAGTGGAGGATGTTATTTTTGACTCTTTCCCTCATGACACGAGATACATAAAGATTTTGTCCCAAATTTCAGAAAGAAGAATGAAAATATGGATGAAATTTCTCTTACAACTCAGAGCAAATATGATAAAGGCAGAATTATTCTAAGGAAAGGCATATGAAATTAGTAATATTCAAATTTTGAATTATAAATTCAAGACAATAATCCTTAAATAAAAGAAATTTGTAAAAATGGAAAATCAAATACTAAAAATATATTTACAAGTAGAGAGTTTTCATATAGTTTAGTATTTGGCTTCATCTCAGATCCATAAAACTTCAGTATAATATAACAGTTGATTGAGTGCCGAAATTTCTATGACAATACAACTACACAAGTCATTGCTGCGTGTTACATAATGGAGAATACAACGTCTCTTATTTAATCCTACTACGTCTTTCTTAATTAATCCAAGTATCATTTCTATAAAAACTAGTAAATTGCATGTCCATTGCACGTAAGTTGACCATAATTGTTCTTCTAGTTGAGTTAAATTAATTTTGTATGCTAGTTGCAAAACTATATAAATTAAGGTTATATTAAAACGAAAACTATTGTATCAGAGGCATAATTTTCCGATACTGGTAACTTGAGTCCCTACCGTTAAATTTTTTTGATATCTACAATATGAATGGCTAGAAGTAAAAACACATTATAATTCCGTTGCTTCAATATATTCTGATCTTTGCTTTACTATATGCTTCTTGTGATGTTTCCATGATATCATGTAAAAATAAGATAGGTATAGAAAAATTATATGAGAAACAAAGGAAAAAGTTCGATATTCATTAAGTACACTTTAAACACACCACTGATGGATTTTTAACATTGATTTCACATTGATCGTAGAAAATCAACCTCAGGTTCACAACTACTACAACATCACTTTCTATATTCTCAAAACATTGAATTATCAAGCGAGGGGAAAATCTTAAGTACAGATCCAACATCATAAAATGTCAAATGGTGATATATTAAGAATACCCAACAAATAAATAGAGAGATTGGCTTGTAGAGGAAAGTCAAGTAAACACGAGAGAGACATTCATCAAAACTCAGCCTCATACAAAAAAGAATTCACTCAAAAATTTGCACGACACTGCACAGCAATATAATACCGTAGACAAGAATATATCCGTGTTTTTGAAGTTCCTTACTATGTCATTTGATTGATTAAAGTTTTGGTCCTCGAGGTTAGTGATAGAGTTGAACCATCATTTAGGATTTGAAGTCGGATACATTTTTATTATGTTAACTAGTCAAACCCGTCATCTCATGTGCCAAAGTCAAACGGTTGTTCTTCCATCCACACTTCCTCTTTTTCTAAATATGCAGCAGTGTGTTACCGAGTGTCTCAAACTGTTGGAAAAATGAATGATTTATGTGTAAATGTGTAGATTATTGTTTAACATAACAAATATAAATAATATAATTAAACACAAACATATAATTCAATATAACATAAACGTGAGAGTGGATTTAAAAAAGCAAGTTTTATTGAGTTTCATCAAAGATGCTTTTCCAAAGTTGTGTTGCCTCTCTTGCGTTCAGGTACTTTCGACATTACACAACTCCAAGATAAAATCTATGTGGCTCACAGCTAGTTCTCCTTCTATGGATACGATCATAGGTAGATAAATGAATGAAACTTTATCTAGTTATTAAAACTATAGAAATATAGAGAGTATTTTGTTTTCTAGTCGTTTCTCAACTTGTGATTTTCATATTATATCCAACAACGAAAATTTCATCCCTTTTATGGAAGAAATTTAACCCCAACATTCTTGTAAAATTAGGCCCATTAGAATGTATATTACTCTAAAATTATTAGTTATAATTATGGATTAAAATAGAAATTAAAATTAAAAGCTGTAATTTTAAAATATGACTTTAATTTTTAAAGTTTAAGTCTTCTATGTTACAACACAAACAAGCAACAAGAATGAGATAAACCATCCCCAAATTTTAAAAGGTTGGTGAGTATTCAATCTAAGGCTGGGCAAATTTCCTGAACGGAACCGATCGAACCGAACCCGAACCGAACCGAATTCGACGGTTCTTGTCAAATTAAATACCCGAACGGGTATCTGAATTGAGATCCGACGGGTACGGTTCGGTTCTCAGTTCTAGACCAAGAACCAAAAAAGAACCGAATTTTTCTAATTTTTTTTATATTGAATAAATCAAATTATTTTAATTTTAATTTTTTCTAAACAAATTAACAATTTCTAAATCCAAACTTTTGACCCAATAATTTGTTTCATTTTCAATTTTTTAATTTTTGGCCCAATTAGCCCTTTTATTGTCTCATTTCTTAACCCAACAAGATTCAACCTACTAAATAACTCCAAATACATACACTAAAGTGCATAACGCTGTCTCGACTCTCGCAGCCTTGTCGACATTCCAAAACTTATACAATCGTCGACTGACGCTGTGACCTCCACCAACCAAAATTTTGACCGTAGCGATCATTTGAACAAGGTAGTTTATGAGTCTCTGACATTTCATAACCATTGAATATGTCATTAGTTGTATTTATACAATGTTATTATAAATGTTAAAAAATCTAATTATAATACAGAATCGAATGGAACCGAACCCGAACGGTTCCATAATTATATTTGGACCCGACGGTTCCATTTACTAAATACCCGAAAATTTTGGTTCGGTTCGATTCTCTTCAGAACTGAACCGAACCGACCCACGCGCCACCCCTAATTCAATCCTCGTCAAACCCTTGTAGTCGTTTATGCACTTCATTTTACAAGCTCTATTCAACTGACCCTATGTTCAAAATTTCCTATTTAAGTAACTAAAATTCATCTGTTATTGCCGGATGGAGTACGCCATTGATGGCAGTATGAGCGGATTTCCAAGGAAGATGATCTCTAACCGTAACCTCAGAAACATGAGAAAGGTATTAGGGGTTGTTGACGATGATCATAAGTGTAGTTGAGGTGTTCATGCAGACATGCCTATGAAAATTCTTTCACATAAGGCACATGCAGTTCCATGCCTCGATCATCGATAGATTGTTGCATCGACTGCTTCAGTCACTCAACGTTGACGAAAGATGGTTTCAATTAGGAGACGGAAGCTAAAATCTGCATTAATTATGCTTAATAATCTATTTGGATAATGTCATTGGCACACTAATTTTTGATAACATTGTCAACAATGATGTATCAAAAAAGTGTTGATTGAAAAGATAAATTATTTTTTAAATTGTCCAAAAAGAATGTGTCACATAACATATTGTCAACATTGTTGTACAAAAAAATTATACACCAAGAATGATTGATAGTGAGATAACAAAAACATCATATTTCCCAAAATATCAATTTGTATATAAGCTAAAAATCCTTTGTGGTTAACATGACATCTTTTTTCTTAATTGTTATTTTTATTTTATTTTTCAATCTTTATTGCACAATAATGCATTTTTCAGAAATAAAATTTAATGCGAGATAAGGATCAATGGTATTTCATATATATATATATTATGATTAATACAATACAAATAATTATGAAATAAAATTTAACCAATAGGATTTATGCTTAAAAAATTGTGGCATAGAAACTTAATTAAAATATTTGATTTTATAGATATAATATAAGAAAAAAAATACTATTTAGTCAAATAATTATGCATTATCTATGGTTAATTAATAAAAATATTTTCTAGTTGGGTTTGTCTATATGCACACCGACACCTTGGTGTACAAACCCTCCTCACAAGAGGAAGGCCCACAATTTTTTTATTCATCGTGCCCCCCCCCTCTTGTGAGGTGTTGGTACACCGGGATACAAATAAACAAATCCTTTATAGTTATACTGGCAAACAATCCATTTAATGTTCACAATACTTTTTGCTTTTTCTTTTGACTAGTCCTGGCCAAAAAAAAAAAAAAAAAAAAAAAATTAAAAACAAACAAATCAAAACGAATGAACTCGATTTGGTTCGGGTCATTTTGACAAGGGTAATTTGTTTGATTTGATTTTCTTTTAAATAAAATCATGATAGGTCAGTTCTATTATAGTCTGAAATCCCAAGTCCCTGGTTAATTGAACTAACTCAACCCATTTACATGTTTATTTGTTTTTCTTAAAGAAAAATAGGAATATAAAAGATAAGCCCCAACCGTATAACAATATCTTAATTCCCTCCAATCTATGATATTGTCAGTAAATAATAATACTGAAAATTTCTTTTTATACCCTCATTATGTTATATCTAGCATTTTTCCTAATTAGAAAATCAGGCTATATGATACATTAAAAAAAGAAGCAGCAAAATTCTTAAATTTTCTGTTAATCCCTCTTTATTAACCCGATTTTATTAGTCAGTCAATAGTTATTGTATATATAAAATTATTTAGTTATTTTAGTTCTTGTAATCTAAATTGGCCCAAAACTCTGACAATTTTTTCAGAAAAATTCAATTTGGACTAAAAGTCCAATGATTTAGTACGGTTTAAGAGTTGGAATGGATTGATTTGGACTGAAATTCATCCAAATCGAATTATTTGGTTTTTGTTTCGGGTTGAAATCAAAATCGACCCAAACCAAATAACATCCAGACCAACTTTTGTCAGACAATAAAATTGCCATAAGCGTTTTTTGTAACAACTCTTGTAAAAATTTTAATAATAAAAGTTCTAGACACAATAGCCATACCAAATAGATCCACAATCGTTTTTTCTCAAAAAATGAGAAAAGTTCTTTAGCAACACGAGAAAAACAAAAATAACTTTTACAAGGGAAAGAGGAAACTTTTATAACCACATCCTCCCAGGTTGACTCCAAAGTTCTAGTTGCTGTATGATATAATAAAATGCTACTTGCACTCCAAAAACATACGCTTGAGACTAAGCAATCTGCTACTATGGTAAGACCAGCTCGAGACCAGAGGATCGCACCAAAATTTAAGAATTTTAAGCCTTTTTGGCAGCGACCGATCTAGCTTTCAGATTGAGAAAGATGGCCCTGTAGTCGCATGTCCAACACGAAAAAGTTAGTATTTGGTTGTACGGTATGCGTGGAAAGTAAACACTAAACAATCGTGTAATCTACTAGATATTTGAAACTAGTCAAACGGAAATGAACACATAAAGAAAATAATAGGAGTACCCACAAATACGATTATTGCCTTGTAAGTTCAGAATTCTAGTCTAATTTTGGCAAAAGCCAACAACATAAAGATTGAAGAAACATCCACACTTAAATCGCCCAGGAGAAAGAGGGCGAGAGATCAAATAATAAAGAACCACAATATCACCATGAAGCATGGCACACCAAGCTTAGAATAGGACACTGGAGATGAGAATCTTAGGGTGCAATCGGTTAATATTGTTATTGTGAATTCATTAACATCTGGAGTGGAAAAGAAACGCATATTATGAGGACTATATCAATGTCACTTTGAACGATTAGCAGTATTGAAGTCCATGATCATGATTTATCCCAAGCTCGTTTTCTTGATTTACATATTGTTAAGCAAGTGTAGCAGATTCCCACCACCATAAAGTAGCATACCTCCAGTATGTTGGGGTTCTGACAGAAAAGAAGCATGTTTGTACTATAATGAGAAACAGGCCTATTTCACTCTCTTTTCAAATAGGCACTTCCCAGACAATTTCCTCATAAAATTCATACTCGGTTGAGATTCCTATGCATCCCTAACAACTGGAATATGTGATTCATGCAAAGAAAAGAGGAGACAAGTAAGCAAAGCTGAGAGGAATAAAGATTGCTTACCAGCACGAGGCCATAAAGCTGTGGAACAAAACACGAAACTGCAACGGCATATACTGGTAGTTGATCCATCCGACTATTGGCCAAAACTGCAAATCAATAGCATTATGGTATGACATTAGAACAGCAAATTTTGGCACCATTCACTATTTCACAATGTTATTGTGAGAAGATGGACCATGTAGTTATACTCCTATACCTTCCATGCAGTCAACTGTACCGAGGGGTAGTCATTCCTGATTTTATTTCGGACTAGACCCCATGGTCGTCCTGAAAAGACACATTTAACCTGTGATTAATGACCAACACAGTGGATTACATGGAAATATAAATCTGACTTAGTGCATGATCGGTCCACAGTATTCGACAACACTCAATAATTTAATGAACAAGAGTTTAGCTTAACACTGCCCAATCCACTCCACCAGATATGCATTTAATTGATTAACTTTCACAGTAGTGCATATCCAACTCAATGTGCATTCCTCATTAAGTAAAGGATCTACTCATACAAGGGAGATCCGAGGAAAGAAAAATAAGTAACAGTTCGATTCCTGCAAGCTCAATTATGATCCATTTTCCTGATTTTCTTTATTTTGAAATACAGTTCCACATAGGAATCAATTTGGGCAGATGAAAACAATAGTTAATGAGCGAATACAAGAAATGAGAATGATTTTGTAAATTTCATGTACAGAGTGTATTGCAGAATGTAAGGGAGTCAAGAGAAATAAGCTTCAAAAGAGGCTCAAAACCACCTTTCTTGAGAAGCTTCATTTAGAGAAACAAACAACAGAGTATGTTTAGCACAACAAGGTGATGGTGACTTAATTATGGACTTATATCGTGCCAGAATGTAAAATTTAAGAAGTTAAGTTGCAAAAGGTCAAGGCTTTGAGTTTTGATTGCAGATGATGCGAGGTTTACAGGCTAATGCTCTTGATTCTTTTCTTCGTCTCAACTTGGAAGGATGGGGGTATTTGTATTTGCTTAGGTTATGTATGAGGAGATATTGCTATCCACATTTGTGAACCATAATTCTCTTGATTCTTTTCTCTGTCTCAAATTCCTTATTTTTTGCTTCAACCTTTGCCATATACTAAGCCAAAGCGCCCCTTGATCTCTTAAAACTCAAAATCACTCTGATATTCATCATGACAAAATGCCTAGATACTAATAAAAATCATTTATTTTCTCCTCTTTCTATAACATGATCCTAAAATTCTTATTCATGCAGTAAGGACAAAATTGTATTTTGAAGTCACAAAATTATATAGCACCCCAATGTCTTCATTCAGTTTCCTTGGACCAAGGAAAAGATATGCCAATCAAAGATCTGTTGGAAGAATAAACCTTGATATATGCATTTGAGTTATTGTCAATTGAATTACTTAGTATTGGTTCAACAAATGAATTCTATTTATTAAATACATATAGGTAGTGAATTCATGTACTTTCCATGTACTTGAATCATCTCCAGGGGATGTATGTAATAATGGTTGATACACATACTGTGTTTTACAGAATATATAAAGCCCTTGATTGGCCTCCATTTTTCAAAACTCATTTTACCCCGAACTCATACAATTTATTGGATCCACAATTTTTATTAACATTTCAACCATACATTTCAGTAATTTTTATCAAAATCTACTAAAAACATAATTTTTAGCAAAACCAAACAGGGATAAAATCTAGTAACACTAGGCATATTATGTAAATCAGTCCAAGAAATTAAATTTTGCTCTCGAGTTATTATTGCCTCTATAAAAAATTAGACTTCCGAGTTTCCAACAAAGTCATTGAATAAACAAAAATTCAACCGGTGTAACTATTCTAGGTTTCTGATATGCTCATTCAAATTTAGAAGATAACACAAGTTTCCGATCTTCGCTCTAGTTAGTGATATCACATAGGAACAAAATCATAATATATATCATTTGTGATATCCACAAATGTTTGAATTCTGATTATAGCATCTAATTTTCTAGGAGCTCGATAAATTTATGAACAGGAGGGTAAATACCTTCAACTACCAATCCATAGTACATCATGAACAAGAAGTTGTTCCAAGGAGAGGAAGTCAATTGTTCCAACAGAACCTACAGATAAAAAAATTAATCTAACATATCAGGATACACAGTAAAGAAATTATTTTGCAGCTTACCTTTTTAGCAACAGTTTTGTTGCCCTTCTTTCCTTTGAATATGAGATCCATCAATTTGTGCAAAAAGTGGCCAAATGGTCCAGAATATGCAAAGCCATATAGCTGCATAACAATTTAATTTACCCTTCTAAATTTCAATAATAATCATGTAGAAAATTAAAGATAATTTAAATAAATAAATAAATTTGTCCCCTCTCTTAGTCGAACAACGAAAAACCAATTGGTCGAAGCCCTAGTATATCAGTGAGTGATCATATTAATTGATTCAAGAACAAATCATATCTAGGAATCACCCAAAGAAATATTAAGTTAAGATACCATCAAAAGAAGTATTCTTCTCAATTGAAGCTTTTTCACCCCAGAAATCTTCTGAGCAACTAAATCACTAGTCCCAATCAAGACTCCAGCCGTGATTGCCTAACAAAAAACATTAAATCAAAACCAAGATCATTCAAAAACACGATTCAACAATGCCAAAAAAAAAAAAAAAATCATTAATGTATATTATTTCACATACCTTGGTTCTCAAAGGATGAACCTGCAGTGCTACCAAATACTTCTTCCAAGTTTCGTTTACAATCTCAGACATGATTTTTTCTCTCAAAATCTATGAAAAGGGGAAAAAATTTCAACGTTGAAGATGGTCGTCGTTCTTCAACATTAATATACTACGTAAATTCCCCACCTAATTACCCCTTTTCTTTATTTATACTGTAAATTTCCATGAATCCTCCTGGCTTCTTCACTCTCTTTCTAAACTCTGAGCTGCCAGCCCCCACCTTTGAATTCAAAATAAATAAATATTGAGTAATTAAAAAGCAAAATTTCATTAGTAGTCCTTAACCTATACTCCTTTTGTACTTGTATCCACAAATTTTGTTTCTTTACATATTTAGTAGTAATATGTGTACCATAAGTGAATAATAAATCGCGAATCCTATAAAATTTATCAATAAAAAATACATTTAACTAATATAAATTATAATATAAGCTTTACCAAAATTACCTTTAGAGATCAGATATGATTCGTGCGCTAACTACTTCAAGGTTAAGGGACAGATGTGATTCAATCATGTTGCGTCGAGATCACTAGCATACTAGTCGATGATTTAGAAGAAAATTTTCATATAGATTAAACTCGCCTAAAAATAGATGTTTTGGGGATAATAGTGCCTAAAAAATGATAAAAATGTAAAAGGTCAATGATCCAAACAAGGATTATTACTAATTAATTTCAATAATTTAATATGAGAGTGGTTGGTGAATAGTATTATTCGCCTATTCAATACCATTTTAATGAATTCAAAGTCAATATTAAGTACAAGTGGGTTGCTTTTCATATAGACAATAAATTATAAATGTGTTTTTTGCAATCCGTAATTTTTACTATAGCATGTAACACGTCCACTGCTGATTTTGTAACCATAGTTATGAGATTTTTTAATTAAATACTAAAATTATTATATACAGTTCGATGAAATTGCTATTAAAATTACATGACTATATCTTGAATACTTTTAGATACATGAATTTCTTTCATTATATTGTGTAAGATCAAACTTTGATACTTTATGAGAAAATTGACCTAACAAATCACAAGATTTTAGAAATTGTGAGTGGTTACCTACTCATTTTCTTTTGTACTTCTTCATACCCCACCTTTAAAAAAAAAAAAAAATAACAACTTTGTAAAGCTAGTAAGAATTATATGAATCTTAGAGAATATAATCAAAAAATCATGATGGAATGGAAAATATTGAAAACGGGGATCCAGGCATCATTTAAAGAGTATTGCTTAGATTGATAAGACCATTTACTTAAGAACGAGATTTACTGGTAGTTTGGTAGCCAAAATTATATGTAATGGATACATGAAAATCCTCGATTAGATGAAAAATGTTTGCATATTGTAAATACATATTATTGTGTGCGTATGTTTTTTCTTTCTTAGCGTGCTAGAATATTTGGATAATCATCTAATTGCAAAACTTGATGTACAATTCATTATTCTTCCCCTTTTTAATGTATTTCTTTAACAAACACAAGCAAATTCAAATAGAAATTATTATCGAAGCAAAAGAATTAAAACAACATAATCTCGATGAAATTGACGATTCGATTTACTCTAAAGATAGAAAACTGATTGAGATAACAAAGTAGCACTGGACATAACAATGTGATTTAAAATAGATGTTATCTAACAAATATCTATAAATGAGAAGAAATTTAATTTCTTCTTTCTTTATTTTATTTTGATTGTGTGTGTGTTCTTTTTTTTTTTTTTCCTTTTCTTTTTGCTGGTGTCAAATATTAATTTGAATGCAGATTGTATTCTACCCACACCCACAAAAATAGTGTTATGAAGATTCATATTTTGTTCAGGAAGCCTATTTTTGAAGCCATGCGTTAGGATATTTTGGTTAGTACACTTTTGCTTAATTAATTCTTGCAATTATCTTTTGGAAGATTAATGATTTAGTGGGTAAATTTCATGATTTTGCTTATAATTGAAAGTGGATTTTAATGATCATGAAAAACATCATTGTGAGTTTTGTGATGTTGTATTTGTTATTGTGCGCAGGGGCGGAGCCAGAAATATTGTTTTAGTGCAGGCACAATTTAATTAATATTGAACTTTGAGTTTTTGGCTATGGATTCAATAATGACAAAAATATAAAATAATATTACGATAATATTAAAAATGATATAGTTTATAAATTATATTTCTTCCTTGTGATTTTTCATATTTTGATATCATTGTACAATAACTTCAAATTAACTAGATAGTAATGACTAATGTGCATTAACAAATAAAAAGAATCACTTTTTAGAACTCCCGTCACTCATATTCAATACCTTTTTAATGAATTCAAAGTCAATATTAAGTACAAGTGGGTTTGTTTTCATATGGACAATAAATTATACATGTGTTTTTTGCAATCCGTAATTTTTAATATAGCATGTAACACGTCCACTGCTGATTTTGTAACCATAGTTGTGAGATTTTTTAATTAAATATTGAAATAATTATATACAGTTCGATGAAATTGCTATTAAAATTACATGAAGCTGACATTCCTAGATATAGTGCAATACATCATATGCAATTGCATTAAACCATCACAATAACTATATCTTGAATACTTGATATATGAATTTCTTTCATTATATTGTGTAAGATCAAACTACGCTACTTTATGGGAAAATTGACATAACAATCACGAGGTTTTAGAAATTGTTGAGTGCTTGCCTACTTATTTTCATTCGCACTTCTTCATACCCCACCTTTCCCCATAAGGAAGAAAGTATTTTTTTTACAAAAAAAAATTAAAAAAAAAATCGTAAAGCTAGTAAGAATTATATGAATCTTAGAGAATATAATCAAAAAATCATAATGGAATGGAAAATATTGAAAACGGGGAGCATCCAGGTACCATTTAAAGAGTATTGCTTAGATTGATAAGACCATTTAGGAACGAGATTTACTAGTAGTTTGGTAGCCAAAATTATATGTAATGGATACATGAAAATCCTCGATTAGATGAAAAAAGTTTCCATATTGTAAATACATATTATTGTGTGCTTATGTTTTTTCTTTCTTAGTGTGCTAGAATATTTGAATAATCATCTAATTGCAAAACTTGGTGTACAATTCATCATTCTTCCCCTTTTTAATGTGATGCGAACCCTATAGCAATGGAAACTACGAAACTCACAACGAGATTGATGCGGAACCCAAGAACGCCAATACTAACCCGATTTTGGATCTTAAACCCCAAGAATTGAATTAAGAAACCCTAGATTAGCGAAGAACCTAAAACCCCTTGATTACAATTAAAAGAACCCACAATCCAATTGTTTAGAATGCCACAAGAAATTGAATCTTGATAAGTTCCAAGATTGTTCAAGAAGAACAAGAAATTAAAAGAACAAATTCTCTCTCTATAATATTATTCAAGCAAAAGTCCTTACAATGAAAAATATTCTCCTATTTATACTAATGAGTAAAAAATGTCTAAAACCCATCAAATTATGGTAATAATTTGATTTCATAAGAATTCTATGGAAACTAGGAAATTCAAAAAAAAAAAATAAAAAAACAAAATTTTTTCATGCTTTTGTTCTATGCAGCCGCATAGTGTTAATCTATACGGTCGCATAGAACAAGTCCTTATCCCCAATATTATCTCTGAGACCATCTATACGACCGCGTAGGTTGTTTAACCATGCGGTCGCATTGAACAATCTTCAGCTTCATTTTCTTCCGTCTTTATCACGCCGATCCAAGTTCTTTTAGCCCTCGACTCCAACATGAAACTTGCTCCATTTTGCCCCCGAACATTGTGCCTTCATTGACTTGCTTGACGAGTAATCCTATCGCTTCTTTCACTTGCTTCATCTTAGATCGCATCATCGGTTCACCTTCGACGATCAACAGATCCTTCCCGTGACTTGACGCTTGAGTTGTCTTGGTTGTTGACGCGTCTTGATTCATATCATCCTCTCCCTCTTTGAAAGAATTCGTCCTCGAATCTAAACCTGCATCAAAAAGAAAAAGATCAGAGACATTAAAAGTAGCTGAAACATTATATTCACCAAGTAAATCCACTTTGTATGCATTGTCATTGATCCTCTCGATGATTTGAAACGGTTCATCGCCTTGTGGTTGCAATTTTGACTTGCTCTGTTCTGAAAAATGCTCTTTTCTGAAATGCACCCAAATCTAATTTTCAGGCTCAAATGTAACGCGTCTTCTTCCTTTATTTACTTTTGATGCAATCGGCTTTCCTTTCTCTTCGATCTGCATCCTGACCTTTTCGTGGAGTGTTCTCACCATCTCGACTTTTCGTTTCCCATCCAAGCTACCTCGTTCATGCACAGGTAAAGACATTAAATCCATAAGTGTTAGTGGATTAAAACCATAAACAATTTCAAAAGGAGAAAACGAAGTAGTAGAATGTGTAGCTCGATTATATGCAAACTCTATAAATGGTAAACACTCTTCTCATGATTTCAGATTTTTATTAATCACTGTCCTAAGTAGTTGAGTCATAGTTCGATTAATTACTTCAGTTTGTCCATCTTTTTGTGGGTGACAAGTTGTAGAAAATAATAACTTAGTTCCTAACTTACTCCACAGAACACGCCAAAAATGACTCAAAAACTTCACGTCCCTATCAGACACTATATTTTTGGGTACTCCATGTAAACGTACTATTTTCCTAAAGAATAAGTCTGTAATATTAGTAGCATCGTCAGTTTTATGACATGGTATGAAGTGCGCCATCTTCCTAAACCTATCGACCACTACAAATATTGAATCCCTAACCATTTTGTCCCAAGCAAACCTAACACAAAGTCCATAGATATGTCTACCCAAGGTTCACTAGGTACAGGCAAAGGAGTATACAAACCATGGGGCTGAACCTTAGACTTAGACATTTTACAAGTTATGCACTTTCCACATATTTGTTTTACGTCATGTCGTATTTTAGGTCAATAAAAATGTTCCCCTAACATGTCTAAAATCTTTTGAATTCCGAAGTGTCCCATTAAACTACCCCCATGTGCTTCCCTTACCAATAATTCACGCAAAGAACAATTAGGAATGCACAACTTATCTTCCCTAAACAAATATCCTTCATGCCTATAAAATTTATCAAATGCACCTTTGTCACATGAATCATAAATACTAGAAAAATCACAATCAGATTCATACATGCCCTTAATATATTCGAAACCAAGTAATTTAGTACTTAATGAATTTAAAAGCACATAC